CGCTTTCCCTTCCCCGACGGGGAGAGAGCCCGCCCCCAGGCGGCGCGGGGAGCGGCCGGCCCCGGCCGGGCGACAGAGGGTCCCTGTTGCCCACAGGCTCCCGGTGCCCTCCTCCACACCTGCACAGGCACAGAGAGGTCTCCCCGTCCCCCCTCACCTACCGGCGCCTCTCACCTGGGCCGAGTCCCGGCTCGCCTCCTTCCCCTCCTCATCCTCCACAGGCGGTGGGGGGCACGGCCATGACACCTCCTCTCACAGGATCAGCACAGGCTTACCCACGTGCACTCGACGTGCTGGCGGCACTGCTGTGGCCCCCGTGGAAAAGCAGGCCCTGCGTGTTCACCCTCAGGCTGCACCAAGAGGTAGGCAGGTCAAGGCAGTCACCAGTGGGCTGAGGGGCAGGAGGTGAGCCTTTGCCCAGCCAGAGGCCTGCCTGGTATACCCACCTTGGGGCGGGACAAGGCCAAGGTTGCGGTATAAGCCAAGGTTCTACCCTACCATTGTAAAGGGTATACCCCCATGGCTGCTTAATAAAAGGTGTTCAGGTACCCTCAGAGGAGCTCCCGATGAAACTGAGAGTCTGGGCCTTAGGATTCACAGCCGCCTTTGAGGACCCAAAGACCCCCATCACACAGACCGCCATTGGCCAGAGACAGTACGAGAATACATCAAACCTCATTGCTCTCTATTTTTTGACAAGGGCACAAATGAATTCCAAAGTAAAGTTCAAATTTGAAACTAATTCCATACTTTTTTCACATTAAGCAAGGCCTTATTATTCTTTAAAACACTTCATCCTTGAATTCAGAATTAAAAATATATTTTTGCTGTCCTTGGTTTTCATAGAAAAACTTTAAATAATTGTGCAAAAATGTGACATTACAATGTCAACATAATTCTTTAAGCTGTTCTACAATATCCCCTGTTCCTGCTGGCATGCTGCATTACTCATTTTTTCTAATTCTGTGTAGTTCCTACTCATCTGCATATGGCTCTCTAATCTTGCTGGATATTCCTGAAAAGAAGCAAAAGTTAACATTTTAAATGCTTACTTGTTTTCAAGGATTATATTAGGGTACTCTTAATATAGCTGAGAAATACTTGCAAGTTTTCTTGTGCTTCTGGCTTTCCGAAAAAAAAAAAAAAAATTAAGTTGAAAATTAATACCCTTGTTCCCAGAATAAATGTTTCATAGTTACTGATGAAGTTCAGCGAACCTTTGTTTGGCTATAATTTGAACCTTTGTTTGGCTATCATTTCTTCTAGTTTCCAAGAAAAAAAATGAAAGACTTACATAACCACTTTGTACATCCACCCCCCTCACTAGCAATTTGCTTATTCCAACCACATTCAACAAGGAGACAGCTCTCAAAAGTATAAATTCCTAAAGACTTCACAAAGACCGTTCAGTGGATAGCAGGTGGAAAACCAAACTAATACCTCCTTGACGTCCCATCCTGAACACCACCTATGTAACCTGAGACCTGCCAGTAGCTAGGAAATGCAGGTGGAGCAAACAGGCCATAGCTGGGCCACAGAAAGATTGAAGGTAGCAGGACAGAAGGGTGCAGAATGCCATGCTGCTCACAGCTTGTGTAGGCTGGCATAGAAAGCATCGTTTTATGATTTTAGCAAGTACCAATTTTGCTCCATTGAACACTAATTCAAAATGGCACGACTTGGCACGTGTTACTAACACAAAGACCTTTGTAGCCAAACCATAATTGCAGCAATCAATGTATACTTATTTTGTGTACTCAAGTTTTTACTTCAAAGAAAAACAAATGAGTTCCTAGAACATAAAACTAATGTCTCCTCGGCTTTGGAAACATGGTTTTTAGAACAAGTTCACCATCACTCCCATTTAGAAGTACTTACAAAATTATTTTAATAGTCTTCAACCTCCTGAGATGTGTATTCATAACTTAAGTTGCCTTAAGTAATAGACTGTTAGGGAGAAAAGCCATTACAGATAGACAAATGGATTCAGCAGAATTAAAAGCTCGGTTAAACTGTTCAGGAGGGGGTTGAGAGCTAATCACAGTTGTGATAATAGCAATTACAGGGCCTTTAAGTTCTGTTGGTGAACAAAACAAGAGGTCTATGGCAACGAAATCTGAACTACATTATTATCATCCATATATTAGTGACAAAACTACATAATTCTGCACTGGTAATTTGATTAGGGTATGACAGCAGCCATATTCCCCATTGCTTGTGGTGACCAGACACACTGATGAGTCCAAACTGAATAGATCAAAAGTGGAGAAAGAGAGGTTTGCAAGAAGAAAGGAAAACATAAAGAATTAAATTCTTGTAAGTGTAAAGGAAGAAAATATGATATTTTAAAAACAGAGCAAAATTTCATTTTTGTCTAATAGCATAAGAATTTTTAGGCCCACTACTTGCAGCCTCCACGAGTAAGGGACAGTGATTCTCCTCCCTCTTCTGCAACTCACATGGGAAGGACAGAAGGTACCCTCAGCCCAAAAATATCAAAAACCTATAACCAATAATACGGTGAAAGGTCCTGGGCTCCATTAGGGAATGAAAAGTAGGGCTCATCCTGGCAGCAGGAGAGGCCCAAGTGGAGCAAACATGCACTTACCAGCATATATATTATTTCTTCTAAATCCAACAGCAGTAGGAGCAGGCTTGACTTGACTTGTGCTGGGAGCTGCAAAGTTGATCCCTCCATGTTTTTAGTCTCTTTCTATTGAGCATGCTCCTCTGCTGCCCCACGTGAGGAGCTGAAAACTGCTACTGGCTGTGGAGAGGAGGTGGGTTTATTGCAAGGGAGGAGCAGGATGGTATAAAACAGTCATGGAATAAACAAGGGGAAATAACTAGCATTAACTGTGAGCCACAGGGAGGTGGAATATGAAGATGTGAATTCCCCCTTGCAGAAAACAAAGGAATTGCATGCTTCTGAAATGCAATGTCCTAGCCTGAGCTTTTGGCATGGGATGAAAACAGAGGCATAGTTCACACTTGTTATGTATTAGATTGGTTTAATACATTACTTGGTCACCAGAGCACCCAGAAAGTACATTTCTTTTGTAATGGACTATGGTACATTGGTACTATGATCCTAACAGATCAGAAAACATAATGCCTTAAAATGATAGCTTTAATAACTTCATTCCTATTCTGTAGATTTCTAACTAATGGTTTGCATACTGTAATTATAACTAGTGATTATATTAAAATTATGCTACAATTAAAATAATTTACAATTAATATAATTTTAATTATTGCTAGTAGTTCATGCAGTTAATTTAGGTGGGCTTTCACAGTGCAAATGGTCTGATGCAAATGCTACCAATGTTGTTAAAATGCTGCTTCTTAAAGAACCTATCTGCAGGAACTGGACAGTAAACAGTAGTAAAATAGATACTACAAAAACATGATTCAGCAAAACTGATGGAATTATATCCTTTAATAGTAAAAATACCTGTTAACAAGATAATTTTCCTGTTGCAAATGTATTTTAAACACAAACTACAACATATACATTATTCATAACATATGCATTATTCATAATGAGGTTCTTCCATTTATTTTGTTTGTTTTCCAATTGTACGTAAATTGATTTATTTAGTTGCTTTACTAAATGCAGACTATATAGTAAATTGATGTTTAGAGCAGAACTATACTGAATATTTTCTGCCTTTAGAACTGCTCTGAAATAGCTCTTTGAAAAGCTAAGAACCTAACCCCGAAAACACTCTGATCCTTGTACTTACCATTGCATCAAAAGTAGCTCTAGAAACTTTACTTTCTAACTTGAATTCTCTTAACATAAGTTATGTATGTTTATGCACACCAACTCAGAGATTACAAATATAAAATTGATTTTTAAATCTCCTACAATAGACAAAAGGCTTCTTTAACTTATTGTTTCTATGTTAGGAAACATTAACAGGAATAACTTTATGTTAAAAAGTGCTATAGAGATATGTTTTTAACAGCACAGAAATAATGACCAAATATATAGAGAGATTCTAACACCCATGCTGTTCATACACTGATAACAGAAGAAAGTAATAAGCAATATGTATCTGTTGATGAGATAAATGAGCTCAGAGTATTAAGGCTGTAACGTAGACCAGTTGGCAAAATGCTAAACAGTTGAAGTTTGAATTTTCACATATAGGAAGAGCATGATCTGAGGCTTTATTTTTTCAAATTTAGTTGTCTTTAAAATAAATTTAGTTACCATTAAGTTAAATTACCATCCAATTCTTAAATTGTCAACAGCAAAAAAAAAATACTTTTAAAGATTAAGTATTAGAAAGACTTTCATTTTAAAAGCATTCTGTATTTTCTTTCTCTTCGTCCCAGCTGAGTAGTTAAATGCAGCTTCACTGTTTGTGGCAGTCGAGCTAGCTGAAGAGTCTCTACATGACAGCAGAAAATTCTGAACACCTGGTCAGTCCAGAATTCAATGCTAGAAAATTACTTTTTAAAGATTATAATGGGAGAATTAATTTTTCAATTCAGGCCATTTTCTAAAAACACCAATTAGTGGCTGATTAGACGAACAGTTAAACTGCCAGAGAAAGGGTAAGGTACACACTCGTAGTGATTATGACAGGCAGACGGTGGCCAGTAACCCCTGAACCTGGAACGGTTTGTCTGGGTCCTTATTTGCAATGTTACTGCTGAAAAAAGACACACACCATGTGTTGAAAGGCAAAGAAATTTGTACTGTTTAAGAGTATAGCTTCATGGTGTCCTTAATCTGCCGTAAATTTTCACTGAATTTACTGGATCAGGTACTTGATGCCTTGAAAGGTACCTAAACCTGATCAGATCTGCAGTTTGCTTTAGCTGCACAAGCATCTAACTCAGTGCCAGTCAGAGGACTGATTCGGGGCAGGAATGAAAATCAGAAGGTGGGAAAAGAATGGGACAACTTCATTTAGTGACAGCGCTGGCTTAATCCAACTTAAAATGATCAGGAATTCACAGCATACACTGTTGCTTGGGCTGTTTACTAAATTTACTACTCTTTTTTTGGCAGCTTCGCATTCCAGGGTACCCTCTCGATTTAGCCAAAACCAGTAAAGACAAGTGCATCATACGGGCTTCTCTCTGTAGCATGATCTTGTTAGAAGATGTCTTATAATCACAACCCATGAGTAAGGTCCCGTGTTGATGTAAAGAATCCTGAGATTTTTGGGGTTTGTGTTAAATCTTCATGCATTAAGCTCTATACTACACAGCACTGGGAAAAAAAAAAATAATTGTAGATTGACACAGCTTTCAGAAATGTAAGTAAAGTCTGTTGAGACTCTCATGTTGTTGTGAGGATGTCAGAAGCAGTAGCTGGACTGAGAGGCCTAAGGAGCTGGGCCAGGGAGCGTTCCCAAGCTCCCAGCCCCTGGTGACCGCTCCGGCAGTGTGGGCAATGTGCAGCATTGCCAGGGGCTGGGCCAGAGACGCTGGAGTCAACTGACTCTGGGGTTAAAATACCCCATTATAGTGTTAGCGAGTTATTCTCCCAAACGATTCCCAGCATGGTGAGGTACCATACAGGCCAGGGACCACTTTCAATAGCTGATTTGAATGTATACACCCAATTTTGAAGGGTAAATAAGTTTGATAATATGAACATGGTCAGATTCCAGTGGTGCCTCG